TTGTCTTGTCCACCCCCACTGCGGTTAGGGCAGCAGATCCCTCCCTAGATCCAGCACGGCTGAGTGAAGCCAGCTTCCCTCGAGGGGGAGTGCGTCCCTGCCCCAGCCTCACCATGCAAGATCACCCTCAAAACACCAGCGCCCTTCCCCGAGGACAGTTCCAATGGACAGGGAGACGTCAGCCCTGCTCTGGTCACTCCGGAAGCTGACTAGTCGACCCGGGTGGAAGCCTGAGGAGTCTCCCTTCTCACCTTCGAGGATGACCCTTCTGTGTTCTCTTCTTGCTAATCTCGGTCACCCCTCTACCTGGGGACCCCCGGGCTTTGGGCGGTGATATCTGTGTTAAGTCCATCTGTCGCCCTGGAGAGCAATGGCTACAGGTCCAAGGCCTCACGGCAGTGGGGAGGAAGCTCGCTCGCGGCGCCCAGGCGGATGACCCCAACAAAGCTCCGTGTGCACCAGCTGAACGCACCGGGCCCCGGGCACCTGGGGGGCTGGGCTGGGGGGGACCTACAGGTTAAATGACAAGTGTGTGTGCCCAAAGATAACAGTGGGACATCCGGCTGCGTGTCCTATGAACAACTCCCCTGCCCTTTTTGGGGGTGTGAAAGGTGGGCAACTTGGCTAAAAGGGGAGGTCCACACTTCCCACGGAACTGCCGCTTTTACAAAAGGGAAAGCACCCCCGGCTGCACTCTTGGCCCCTGTCACCCTGTAGATTTCACCATTTTCAACCTCAATGAGACGGGCTGGAATCTTGGGGAAAAGTTTGACATTTTAATCTGTGAAAAGGAAACAGCCCCCGGTACTTGTTTCATTGCCAACCCATTCTGACCACTCATGAGACCCTCGCACCAGGCCTTTCCCTCCTTTTACGAGGAGATAAAAAGTGAGTTTCCCATTTCAGTTACGACCAAAACCCGTTCCTCTCTGAGTCCGTAGCACAAACCCTGCACGTAACTTCCTGTTACGTTTGTGGGGGAACAAATATGGGAGACCACTGGCCGTGGGAGGCGAAAGAGCTGAACCTACAAGAGCGCTTTAATGCAACCACTGCCCCAGCCATGGGGACAGCATTCGGCCCTGAAAAACCTCTATTACTGGGAATTGCTGTGTCTCCCGCCCAAAGGCCAATCCTCCACGCTGGCAGGGGATTTGCTCTGCTCGGGACAAGTTTTACACTGACATTACTCAGGAGACTCAATGGTGGAGGCTCCCAGTCCCACGGAGCCCCAGCCTCACCCACTGGCTACAATAGCCTGGAACAATCTCAATCCGGGTAACTGCTGTTTACAGATGGTGATGAGGGAAAGGTAAATAAAGAGATTACTGACAAGTGAAAAAGCTTGCCCGTGTCCCTCTGCAGACCTGGAATGGATAACGTCCCAGTGACATATTGGGGGCTGGTTCTCAACCCTAGGTGGGTTCAAGACCTTAATAGGGACCACGTTCCTTGTCTTAGAAGCATGCCCGATGTCACCCTGCCTAATGCCCTGGTGCTGCGGTCTTTATCAAGATGATGCTCTTTGATCCAGAAGTGGGTCCCAGCATCAAAGGGGAGAAAGTGGCAGGGAGGCAGGGAGGGGAAGAGAGATTAATGAGTGCTACAGTGGAACAAAGGACAACCGGAGCTGGGGAGTCAGACCAGGGATGGGTCACTTTGCCCCAGAGGTTAAAACAGCCCATGAAGTAACATGTGATCGCATATGGGACAGGCTGCACCCCCCCCATTTCTGTAACCTGCCCTAAATGATATATAAGGAACGCCGGCTGAGTCGCTGCTGACTGCTTAATAACCTTGCTTCCCGAAAGCTCTGGTGTCCTCTCTGTCTCTGAGCCCTCCTGCGACAGAGCCGCTCCTCCAGCCTTTTGCTTTTTGTTCATTTTTCAGTGCCCGGGGCAGGCCTGGCACTGGGATCCTTCTGTGTCCGCCTCACCTCCCTCCTCGCTGGAGCTGACCTCTTGAGCTTCAGCCAAAAAGGCACAAGGGGCGCTCCCCGTGGTTCTTCTCACCTGGTAACGCACCGTTGGGCCCACTTTAAGCAAATGAAGTGCCTGGTGGCCAGGGCGACATTTAGCATTTGACGTGAGTGAGCGTCCCAGGGAATCCACAGATGGGAACAGGACGTAGTGTGAGAAGCTGCCCAGAGGGACCGAGGGACAGAGGGACGGAGGGCCTCAGGCTGGCCAGCCCCGTCCCTCTCAGGAGTCATTTTTCAGCACTGAGAAAGCTGCACGAGGGTTGGCGGAGTGGCTCAAGTGGTAGAGCGCCTGCCTAGCAAGTGTGAGGCCCAAGTTCAAACCCCAGTGCCACCAAATAAAAAAAACAACTTAAAACTTGTTAGCTGCATAAGCACAGCCACCGGGCCTTGCCCTGGAGCTAAGGGCTAGAGACATATGCGGTGGGAGGTGGTGTGACAGTCACAGCAATGGGCCCCACACCCTAGGATGGCAGCAGGGAGTCAAAGGTCCCCCGGCTGGTCCTCTGCTCCCCATCCCAGCGTGGGCCCCGAGATCTGCCCTCCACAGGCCGGTAGACTTGGTTTCTACAAACAGTACACCTTACCTCGGTCAGGTGGGCGTCTTCAGGGTGCAGACTCCCCTTGAAGCCGGGGGTGGAGGGGTGGGGAGGGGGGAGGCGGGGGGGGGGAACCAGACACTCCTGTAACTCATTTAAAGACATCCCTTTGGGGTAGATTTGCTGGGGACACACAGTTATCACTGCACACGAGCGGTGAGACGCAGTTTCACACATCAAGACAGGGAGACACGGTCTCAGACGAGGGCTGCAGCTCACAGCCGCTTCCGAGGTACCTCTACCACCCCAGGGACAGAGGCAAGGGGGTGAGGCTCCTGTGGGAGCTTTTACATTTGTTGCCTGCTCTCTGGTTTGGGAAGTCTTTTTTTTGTGTGTGTGGTACTGGGATTTGAACTCAGGGCCTTAAACTTGTTAGGGAGGGGCTCTACCACTTGAGCCATACCCCCAACCCTTTTTTCTTTATTTTTCAGATAGGGTCTTTCATATTTGCCCAGGGCAGCCTCAGACTATGAGATTTTTCTACCTATACCTCCCATTAAACTGGGATTACAGATGTACACCACCACACCCAGCTTCTTGGTTAAGGAAGGGGGTCTTTTTGCCCAGGCTGGCCTTGAACTGTGATCCTCCTGAGTGGTTTGGATTATAGGCATGAGCCACCCTGCCCCATTCTCAGTGTCTCTTTATAGTTTTCTCCTCACGAGACACATAAGGGCTGTGTGCACAGATGAGCCAGTCACACCCCTTCCCATGGGGACACTTAGCAGGGCGCTGTCTTCTGAAGGGGGCACTGACCATGGGTTTTGGTGTGTCAAGTCTGATGTCATGAGCTCATTTGGTGGGCTGTGAGCTGCCCACTTGTGCTAACATTTTAATTCTTTAATTTTTTTTGCAGTGCTGGGATTTGAACTCAGGGCCTTGTACGTCCCATGCAGGGTCTCTGCTACCTGAGCCACCCCCCGCCCAGCCCTTTTGCTTTATTTTTGATATAGGGCCTCACGCTTTTGAATGGGACTGGCCTCAGTCTGTGATCCTCCAACCGATGCCTCCCTGTAGCTAGAATAAGTCACGTGCCCCTACACCCAGCTCGATTGTTGATAGGGTTCTTGACAACTTTTTGCCCTGGCAACATCAGTTTGTTGCTCACGTACCACATGGGTGACGAGAGGGGGAAGGAAACTTCTGAGGCCTTCACTTAAAAAAGAATTTCTTTGCTTTTCCTAAGGGCCGACTATAGAGACCACTTCTGCCCAAAGCTGGAGTGACAAGGCATCGTTTCAAGAGGGTGGCTGGAGTGGGCATATTCTCTGCCTTGTACCATGTTCCCGAGTCCCACACAGAACCAGCTCCTAGCAGGCCTAGCTCAGCTGCACAAAGGGGCCAGTGCCCAGCCTGGGGCTCAGGTGGACTCAGCACCAGAAAGACAAGGAGGGGAAGTGAGGAAACGGGAGGCAGACAGCCAGGTGGTAATGCCACACCACTTTGCCAAGTCACCTGGCCTTCACCGTCCTTGAGAAAGGCGCTTGGCTCCTGGGAGGCACTCAGGCCTATCTTTATGAGCCACTGTAACGAATAACTCAATGCCACAGGAAAAACATGCCTTACAACAGCAACCAAATCCAGCCGGGTGTTGCTGAGGAATGTGACGTCACCATGGTGACTTCTCATGGGGATGGTGGTCAGGAGGACCCCCGTCCCTCCCTCCAGAGCTGGTTGCCTAAAAGCTTCTTCAGGCATGGCCTTTGATGTATGAGGGACAGTCCCTCCGAGCTAGAGGGTAGTCTGTACTGGAGTGATTCAGGCAAGGGATCTGATAGCACTGCTTTCATCACCCCAGGGCCTGTCTCGGTCTGCACAGGCAGGTGACCACTCTGACCACAGGTCACGTAGCCTCAGGGGACCACGGGGACTCACCTGCCTAATCCTGCTCTTCCTCTGAGAAGGACCTTACAACTCCTTCAGGGAGGGGCAAGAATTCTAGGAAGAACTGTGTGATTTGGCTCACAAAGGATACAAGTCAACGTGGACGAAAACTTTACAGTTCAAGTTGAGGCGTTTAGCCTGGAAGGAAGTGAACCAGTGAAAATTAAAACACAGGTTTTAATTTCTTTTTTGGTGACAATGGGGTTTGAACTTGGAGCCTTGTGCTTGCAAAGCAGGTGTTCTACCACTTGAGCCACACCTCCAGTCCATTTTGCTCTGGTTATTTTGGAGATGGGGGTCGAGAACTATTTGCCCGGACTGGCCGCCAACCTTGATTCTCCTGATCTCAGTGTCCCAAGAAGCTAGGACCAGTTTTAATTTTTTTTTTTTCAGGTACTGGGATTTGAACTCAAGGGCCTTCAATTGAAGCCACTCCACCAGACCTTTTTTTGGTGATGGATACACTTGCACACGCACACAACCTGTGAACTTTCACCTGAAAGGAAACACAGAAATGAATCTGTTTATAGGGAGACTTGTAAAAGAATGCAGGCGTCGAGGCTAGGGACCAAACGATCCCCTGAGATTCTGAGCTTTAAAAAGATTTAATTTTTCCAAATTCAAGGGTCTTCCTATCCAGATTCCAGGAAGGACAGGAACTGGCCACACCTCCAATCAGTTTTTTTTTTTTTTCTTGTGCTTCACAAAATCCACAGAAGGAAACAGTACAACACAGCCCAGGATTAACGAGGAAAACCTAAAACATGTCAGAATAACCTGTCTACTTGGCAAATCGCTATCGGTATAGATTTTCATTAAGAAAAATTATTCACAAAACAGAATTCTCCATGAAGCCTGCTCCCCACCCAGAGCGGCTGGAGAGCACACTCTCCCCATTCCTTGGCCACCGCACAGTGCGGACGAACCTCCCGCCCTGCTGGTCCCACTGGGCGTGAGGTCTAAGTACACTTGGAAAATAACCTTTTGGGTTTTCAGCTGCCAGGGTCAATACACATTGGAATAAAGTGACTCGGGCACTCCCTGCATGAAGAAGCCACCAAGACTAAGGGCAGGGGACAGACAGAACAGACATGCACCTCAGGCCAATGCCCTCATGAGAACCACGCATGACAAAGGCAGCTCACCAGTGGTCCCTTTTCCTCCACTGAGTGGTGCCCAAAGCATTCCAGTCCTTTCTGTGTGGCCCAATGCTGCTGACTCTCCAAAAGGAGTCGATAGAGTGAAGTCACCCAGCAGGGAGCGGCAGCCATGAGGCTCCCAGAGGGGCCGGGTCCAGCTGCTCCAGGTAGAGGCGAGAAGACGGTGCTCAGTCCCCTCCTGGCCAGGCAGGACACTGCCCTGGGGCAAGGGTGGAGGACTTGGGCTCCTGAAGTCCCACACTGAGTGGCCTCAACCTGGTCCAGCCCGGCCGTAGTGCTTGACCTGAGATGGGCAGCCTCTGTCACGGTGCCGTCTGCTCTCCTCACAGTTCTTGGTGCCGAGGAGGAGGGGGGCGGCATCAAGGCATCAGAGCCCTGCACGTGCCCTGAAGTGTGAATTACACCTGTCACCTCCTCCCCACCCAGCTTTGTACTCAGAAAGCAGAACTGAGCAGGAACCACGCACTGTGACGAGATGGTTTGTTTTTAGCGCCTGTTGGGTGCCTGCTGCCGGCCATGCCGTGCTGGGTGTTCACAGGGCGCTGTCACCTACCTGACGACCACCCTGGGAGGTGGTCCCCTGACTGCACAGCGCAGCCCTGAGGCCCCGCGACTGAACACAGAACTTTCCGACTGCAGGTTCAATCCCGCTCTCCGCTCCTCACTGGAGAAGATAAAGGTTTGGTCCAAATACCCGCGAGTCCATGAGATCAGGTGCCGGGTTTTGTTTCTGACATTTTGGAAGTTTGGAAAAACATAAAAAAAAATTACTGTGAGTGTGCGGTCTGGGAATCAAGGGTCCCTTTGTTGGGCTTGGCATGGTGGCAAGTCCCACTAACGACCACCTCAGAGCTCCTGTCTCCTGCCTTCCCATCCCTCCCACCTGTGAGGCGGGACGGAGGAAGGTGGGTCATGGAGAAGCAGAGGGCTTTGACCCCCTCCAGCAGTGAGCAAGACCCAAATCCGTGTTTTCCTCCTGTGAGAATTCTCAGCAATCTCTGCCTGGAGCAAGGGCCACCTGGGAGGGAAATCACCTGCCTAGCGTTGGCAGCCACCCATCTATGGAGGGCCACTTTCCCTGAGTGCATCTTGAAGGAGGCTAAGGCCAAAAGGAAGTGGACTTCCAGAATTTGCTGGGTCTAACAATCCCAAAGACAGATGAAAAAAAAACCCCACAATGCAGATGTGAGCCCTAGGTCTCCACCACGTGCAAGATAGCCAGCAGGAGCCAGCAGGCACTGAGTGAGTGCGCTTGAAGCCAGGACGCAAAACGTGGCTCTTTGGTTACTAGGAGAACCCTGGCTCAGGGCTCCACATCTACCCAGCACTTCCATTAGTCTCCTCCCACTGGCCCAGGCACTAAGGGACTTCTCTCTGTGCCCGGAGACCCAGTATGGCACGTGCTCAAGGCTCGAGGGTCCAGCACAGGCAGGCAGATTTTAAAGGAGACTTAACTCATGCCTGGCTCTCACCCTGCCAGCTCCACTAGGGCCCCACTGTGTCCGCTGCAGTCAGAACTGGCTCTGTGCGCCCCTCACACTCTGGACCTCCTGAGCAGCTGCGGGACCACCGGACCCCAGCAGGTCAGCGCAGATGATGGCCAGGCAGAAGTGACTCCGGATACAAGCTGACTCTGACCTGGACAGTCGCCTCTGGCCACACAGGACGGGTGAACAGAGAGAGTCCCTCTGCCTTTTCACTTCTGTCCTCAACATCCCTGCTCAATGGTGCCATTAACGCCACTTAAATGCCCTCGAAACCTCCCCTGCTGCCTGTGGGAACGCAGTTTGAGGTTATCTGAGGTGGTCTGCGTTCAGTAACGACGAGGGGAGCGAGGCAAATGCTGCAGCCTCTCACTCAACAACCTTTTTAAGACTGAAATAGAAAAGGCACAAGTCACCCTGGCGAAGGAGTGCCACAGCCAGCATTGCTCTCGGGCCTCTCCAGCAGACAGTGGAGCCCAAGCTAAGGACAGCCAGCTGCCACTGCATCTCACCTCTGTGCTCTCTTGGCACAGGGGCAGCTGCAAACTCTCCCTTAACAAAGTCACAGCTACTTGACAGGAAGAGTAGAGAAGAGGAGGTCATTTAATGACACAAACGACATTACTTTCCTTGGCTCCAGGTGGTCCAGGCTCACTTTCAAGTTCACCCGTGGTCAGAGAGCAGGTTTTTCTTACTGGAAAGAGCCTCTCTCCCACTACCCACATGGAGAGTGAGCCCAGAAACAAAGTCCCCCTGGAAGAAGTCCCGGTACGATGCAAGTCTAGCAAAATAAAATGGAGGGATAGTGGTCCAGGTGGAGCTGCAGAACCAGAGGACTCCTGCCCAAGGTCCAGGGCCCAGAGAACCACTCTGCACGCCTGCCATCATTTGCACAGACGTTACCCCAACAAGCGCGGTTTGCTCGATGGTGGCTGCTAGCTCCCCTATGCAGGCTTTGCACAGCATGCACACGGAGAGAGACTCCAAGGACTGCAAACAGTTCATTTTGGCAAAAAAAGAAAAAAAGAAAAGAGAGGAAACAAAAAGCTGAAGTGGGTAAGCAGAATTAAAAGCCACTGAGTGAAAACTGTGTATTTTCAACAGTATGAAGTTAGACTATCTCTACATCCTTATTTTTTTTTAAAGTCTCTGCCATCCTCTCCCCTAATTCAGGTCAAAGTTCATAGCAGCAATGCAGAAGTCCTGTCAGGCCAGACCCCAGGCCAGGCTCAGTCAGTCCGGAGGATCATGGGAGGGTGCTCACTGTCTTCGTCCAGGCGCAGGGCGCTGGCTTCATCTTCCAGGCACGCACCGCCCACAGCGCCCAAGTCATCTGTGTAGGCTGCAGAGAGACAACGGAGCCACCCTCAGCGCTAGCCCAAACTCGGATCCCAGGGCGCCCACCGCGGGCTTCATGTGTAGCCCTGACTTTACCACTGCTCCGACAAGCCAGGCCTCGGCAGCCTTGGGCAGCACAGTGCGAAGCCACTCACTCCCCACATCCCGCGGTGGCCGAAAGAGGCCACATAGTCAAGGGGCTTCCCTTCCCATCACACAGGCTGTATGTTCCCTAGCTGGCGACACAGGGTGCACAGTCTCCTCCCTGTGATGGAAGGGCTTCCCTGAGGGATCTTGGGAGCAAGCGCAGCCCTAGCAAGCAAATCCCAGGGTCTCCCAGTCAGTCCCCTTGGGCCTGGGGACAGCCAGACCACATGGCATGAAGGGATATGCACAAGTGGTCGTGCAGTCTGCCTGCTCATCACAGCTGCTGCACTAGGGACCCTGGCACAGGACATCACCTTCCCTCTCCGCCCTCACTCCTTGGAGGCCTCCCACCTTGCAGGTCCCCCGCCCAGCCCCTCACAGGACTGCTGGCATGCAGGTGCTGCACGCATACCTGTCGAGTGGTCACACAGGCAGGAACAAAGGCCTAATTACCTTCTAGGTTGGCGTCCTGCCCCTTACCAAGTCTTGTGGGGGACGAGGGCAAGTAAGCACCTTTGGCTGCGGCTGTGCCGTACGTCTGGGTCACTAAGGGGCAGTCATGGGAGGCGGAGTCCACGATCTCACTGGTTGTCTCCATGCTGCCGTCCAGCCTGAAGGGAGGTGACAATGAGACCACATGGCCGGGGGCCGAGGCACCACACCTGTGGCCACAGCGCAACAGACAACTAGGCGGACGACACCTACGTGCCTTATGCTCTGAGGATACTCCACCTCCCTCTGCTCCCTTGGGTTTTTCCACGATGGCATTTCACACGGGAGTCTGATGGAGAGAGCTACGCCTTGTGAGGAGATCTGACTTCATGGTTATGACTGGCCATCATGAACAGAGAGCTTGCTATTGAAAAAGAAATCATTCCCTGCCAGGTGCAGTGGTGCACGTCTGTAATCCCAGCACTTGGAGGCCGAAGCAGGAGGAGCTGAGGTGGAGGTCAGCTGTGCTGCTCAGTGAGATCCTGTCTCACTGCCCCCTCAAAAACCTGTCTCCCACTTCCTGATGGCAGAACAGAAGCAGCATTCCTGTGATGCTGCTAGAACTGAATGATGGTGACACTGCACCTCTGCCATTACCAAGACAGCGACGTCCTCTTTCTAGCGGGAGACCTGTGTCCATGGGGTGGAAGCTCTCGGGAGCGTGGGCACCGCTGCATGCCATGCTGTGGACTCCCCTGCTTTGTGCACAAAGGTCCTGGGGGACACCCAGCGCCCCCACCTCTCACTGCACACAGAGCCCGTGGTCAGGGCGGGGCAGGAAGGGCTACATCTGGGAAAGGGGCATTTCCAGAGGCCGCAGGCCTCAGGCCTCTGCCTCTCAAAGGAACGAGAAGCCCAGGATGGAGGTGCGGCCACAGCCCACCATGAAGCAGCAGCCTCACCTGTGCTGGCGCATCAGGGCGCACTCGCCGCCCTCCTGGGGGTCCAGGTTGTACATGTACAAGTAGCCGTCGGATGCTCCCACCAGTAACCGGGGAATCTTCTGAATTCTGGTAAGAATGAAACAGTGAAATTTTAACAGCGTGATTTTCGCAAAAAGCACCTTATTCAATGAGCAGTCTCAGCTTTCCCAGGGCTGGGAGGAGACCTGTCAATTACACATGAATTGGGTGTCATGCACTTGACACATCACCCATGCAGAAGAGGACGAAACCCGTGCCCTGGTCTCTTTGGAGGTAATTCGCAAGGCCAGGGCAGCCTGGGTGTGAAGGGGCCCTGAATTCTGGGCACAGGGCGGTTGCCCTTCACTTTCTCTGACCAAGCTGTGTTTTCACAGAAACTTGCAGCTGGCTAGCCTGATAACGTTCACACAGGGTGGCCCTGTGGCCTCTGCACAGCCCTCCCCACCCCCCATGCACCGTGCATGGGGCTCCAGGCCGAAGTCCACTTGGTGATGCTGTTTTGTGGACACACAGGACACTTTCCTGTCCTCTGCTCACTGTTTTTCAACACTCGTTGGCCAGGGAAGACTGAAGGCCAGGGCTCGACAAAGGCACCACCTGTGGCTGTCAGTTCTGTGCAGTTCCTGATGCAATCAGGTCTAGATCCACACGCCACTGCAGCCTGGCGGCCAGCAATGACCCGCCTCCCGGCCCCACTCACGTGGTCAATGAGCAGATGTTCTTGTGGCCGCAGAATGGCAGGCGGACGGTGGCAAAGGCTCTGCCTTGGTTGAACATTTCTGTCACCTGGGAGGGCAGGTAGCTGGTGGAGGCCATGAGCACCTTCCCAAAGTAGCCCGTCCAGGTAGTGGGCTCCTCTGGAGGTCTAGAAGGACACGAAATGGACTGAGACCGGCTCTCATTGAGAACCACCATAACCCCCGGTACGAGTGCCCAAACCCAGGCCTGGTCTTCCTGTGTCCCCAGCAAAGTGGAGCCAGGCAGTGTCCTCTGGGAGGGGCCTGAGAATGGGGGTTCTGTGGTGGCAGGGGACTGGGAGCCCCTGTGTCTCTAGCAGGGGGTCTCAGGCCCTGAGGACAAGCCTTGGGCTATTTTCTGACAGCCCACTCTGGGTGCTGTTCATCTTGTAAGCGCGTCCACAGTTACGATAAATTTTGTTCTGAGTAATAAGCAGTGCTGACACCAGCAGGAAGTCTTAAGGTTGAGGAGGGGCATATGAGTGCATTCTGGCACACACGGTCATCTCAGCGACCCAGTGTGAATCACCTGCTGTGAAGTCGAAGTCCACCTTCTCTGACCTGATGGGCAGGTCAGACACACGGACTTTATTCTGGGCAGTGAGCTGACCCTATCACCTAGCGTCAGTGTCCAGCACATCTCCCATGTCAGGACCTCGTGTAACAGGGACATCCTCTCTCCTGAGCCTGGATCTGGTGATCCCCACCTCACAGCAGCCCAGGTCTGCTCCGAACAATGCCACGAGTAGGACCATTCCAACCATGTAGTGCATGGGACAGAGCATTCTGTGTCTTATAGAAAGCAGACGTGGGGAGGTGCACTTGGGCAGAGGACATGTCAGCTCTGGGCACCCCGCTCTGATCCCAGCACCCCCAATCCCACGGTGCTCACTTTTCTTTCACAGTCTCAAGTTTAAAGATGTGCACCGTCTCAGTGTTGCTGGACGCGGAGAGGAACATACTGTCCATGCTGAAGGCCAGAGAGCAGATGCTCACACACCTGGGGACAGGGGACAGAGGGTCAGGCTTGCCGCCACTGCGTTCCCAGAGGGCGAGCTGGCGGCACATCCCTGGGACTGTGTGGTTGAGGAGCTCTTCCCCGCCACCTCCAGAGAGCCCAGTGTCTGAAGTGAGACGGGGCACAGTGGCCCTGCGGCACTCCTTGTGACTAAGGGAGCACAGGGCACCTGGAACCATGCAGGCTGGATGAGGGGCTTACACTACGGTTGGGGAACGACAATCCAATGATTAAATCACAGCGTTTATGATAGGAAACAAATCCCAGATGTGCTTAGCAGGCCACGACTGGCACTCCACAGCACTTTCACCGTGGGCCTCCACACCTAAACCACACAACCCAGGCTGCCGAGCCTCCTGCATGCTGGGCAGGCAGGCTGCCATTACAGCCTCACCCCCAGCTGTTTTTGCCTTTCTCATTTTTCACGCAGGGTCTCCAGTTTCTGCTCAGGGCCACCTGGATCAGGATCCTCCTATCTACACCTCCCTCACAACTGGGATCACAGGTATGCACCACTACACCTGGCTCTAAACAGCTCCCTTAACTGGGGTTGGATTTCATTCAGCTCACTGAGTATCCAGTGTTTCCCACAGGCTCAGACACACTCAAGTGAGGAGGGGAGTTCCTGCCCGATGCAGCTGGTGCTGCGGTGTGCGTGTGTGCAGATATGAAGTTTGCTAAAGGCAAGGGCGTGCTGAAACAACAAGGGGAAGGTTCTAGAGAAGGAGTGGTAGGATGTAAGCGTAGTGGGGTCATCGAGGGAGGCCGTGACTCAGACCTGTGGGTTCAGACGGTGGCCAGGCCCAGCAGTGGGGAGTGACAGGGAGTGAGATGACACAGTAGCACATAGGCCTGTGGACCCAAGGAGGGACAGAGTCACTCCTACAGTAAAAGTTGGCAGCTGGGGGTGGGGGGAGACGGGGAGAGGATGACACAGTAGGAGCTGACCGGATGCAGGAAGAGAGAAGGAGGAGGCAAAGCCAGTCTGGAGTGCCCCTGACTGGAGGTGGTGTGTGACAACAGGCAGACACAACTTGGCCTGCTGTCTGAGGGTGCAATGTCAGTGGGCAGGGAGGGAACAGGCCCCACTCAGGGAAGGACGAGGCAGGGCTGGGCGGCCCTCTCGGTCCAGGCTGGGTGAGACCCAACACCTACTCAGTTCTCACAGAAACACTGTCCCTGCATCACCACAAGCCTGGCCAAAAGCTCAGCCACAGTCCATGTGGCCACAGGAGCTCCCGGCTCCCTGCAGCCTTCCCTCACTGTGTCAGGATGACAGCAGCGGAAACGCAACATAGCCTGAGTGGACTTGGGGCTGATGGACCTTACCTCTTCACTCCCCTCCGGAACTCAAAGAGTTTCTGTCCCTCTGGAATGGAAAATACCCTAATTACGGTCCCCTGGGAAAGAAAAAAAAAAGAATCTTAGCTGGGTAAAAACAGACCTTTTCTTTCTCATCTGACATCCAGTACACCATGGGGCCCGCCTCCAGCGGCCACTCTGCAAGGCCCACAGCCAACCACAGTGACCACAACACTCTCAACCTGTGCTTACACCCATGGCGTTGCTGCACAGCAGACCTAGTTACAATGACTCCAAACACCAACAGCCTTGAAGCTGAATGTGGCATGCAAGTCACTTTAAGTCTGAAGTAGAAACAAAAGCTATACCCAGGGATGTACCCGGAATGAGGTTCCAGAGCCACCTCGCCCAACCTCCAGTGTCACTGACTTACTGAGCAAACAACTGACTAGCTGCAAAGCTCACTTAATTGTCTTAAAGGGAAAACGCATGAACCCACAAAGTGATTTCTAAGAAACCTTACTTTTTTGTTTTTGGCAGTGCTGGGGTTTGAACTCAGGGTCTTGCACTTGCCAGGCAGGCACCCTATTATGTGAGCCATGCCCTCAGCCCTCTTTATTTTTCAGATATGGTCTGCAGTTTTTGCCTGGGTCCAGCAACTCACCTACGTCCAAGAAAACTACTTTTTTTTTTTTTGAGGAATAGAGAATTTCAAACAAACTAAAAACCGAAACAAAAGGACAACTTGGTGAGTTACAGGGCTTCCGTTTTCAAGAGGAAACACTCCCAAGTGACCAACTCTCCTCATCCTTCATCCATTTCCTGAGGGTGGTGACACAGGAACCAACAGCTGCAAGGACACCGAGAGGGGACGACAGAGAAAGAAGTGTGAATGGGACTGCCCATGCCTGGTGGCTAGCGAACAGTGTTGAGCGACAGGATCAAACAGCACAGACAGACAGGACAGACTGGCAGGGCAGAGGGGAGCACTGCATTACTTGTGGTGGTACAGAGCTTAGCACTGACTTCCCAGTTTTAGAAGGCTGCCATGGTTGGCATGAGAAGCGTTACAGACAGCACACAGAGGCCAGTCACGAGAAGCTGTGACACTGCTTCACGCAGCCAGACCCAGCCTGCGGTGAGTCAGGTCCTGGGAAAGCATTTCTGGCAGCAGCGGGCGTCTCTAGATGCAAAGACACCATCTGAGTTTGCAGCTCTTGGGAACAAGAGGATGAAACGTCTACACATTGACACAAAGTGACCAGGGCCCAGTTTTGCCCTTGACACCAAACAAGACTTCCGTTTAAGTTTTTATGGCACACCACTGTTTCTCGCCAATTAAGAGTCACTGTGTGACGGTGACAGCAAGTTCCTTCAAAGGATAGGTCCCACGCCTCAGTGGGCTGCCCAGGAACATGGGGGAGCTGGGAAGCCCAGCAACCAACTCCTTGGGCACGGAGCTTCCTGTCCAGAAACAAAGGGTTGTGCTGGAGCTGGCCTGGAAATCCCAGCAGAGTTTTAGGGCCTTTCTAAGAGCTGATAGAAAGCAGAGTGTAAGGTCCTGACTAATGAGGGGACAGCAGAATTCCATTTAAGATACTCAAGGATAAAGAGGATGAGGTGGTACTGGGTCTCAGCCTGTGCCCAGCTGGGTGACCTTGGGCCAACAGCTAAGCCTCTCTGAGCTCCTCTGGGTCCCACGAGGTCAGATTCACCTGACAGGGCGCTGGACCAAGTAAGGAGTATGAAAGACCCAGGAAGGGTAGGTTTGAGGAGTGGACAAGATGTCAGCAGAGAAAGTCAGTGAAGTCAACCCATGGGCTGCTTGAGGACAGATACCTGGGGACAGCAAGCCTGGCACGGACCTCTGGAGGAAGCAGGAACAGCGAGGGAGAAAGACGGTGTGAGGATGACAGCTGACCATGCCATCCTACCACAAAGGCCACACCAGTTGGCATCCCCTTGCTCAAAATCAACTCTTAACTACACTGGTGTGTTCTGGTCTGCAGCATCGGGACACCTGGTTTTACACATGCTGTGGTTTCTGGGTTAAGCTGTCACTCTGCAGAGGAGGCAGGGGCCAGAGAGGCACTATGCCAAGAGTGCAGATCGGGTCAGGGTGGGCACCCTGCTCTGCTAGTCCTGCTAACTCGTGGGCTGGAGGGCCTGCGCGGCAGCAGCTGTTACAGAAGACAAGGGACCCCTGGAGACCGGGATCTCCTGGTGCTATACTGCAGCGGTGGGACAACGCAGTGTGCAGTGCATTCTTGGGAATCAGTGAATCTCATCTGAAGGCTCGTAACAGATCACAAATACAGGTTCTGCTTGGTAACAACACAACAGGAGCCATGAGCTCTTATAAAACCATAGGCGGGAGGACTGTGGTTCAAGGCCAGCCCTCCCCTGGGGGGACAGCTAGTTCCTACCTGAAAAACAACAAAAGCAAAGAACAGCTGGGGGCGTGGCTCAAGTGGTAGAGCTCCTGTCCACCCAGTGTGAGGCCGAGTTCAAGCTTAGTAGTGCCAAAAAAAAAAAATTACTTCCTAGTTCTATAGAACGTGAGCCAGTTCGTTCTGCTCTGATTACTGTGGAGATGGGGTCTCGAACTATTTGCAGTGCCTGGCCTCAAAACACGATCCTTCTGATCTTAACCTCCCAAGCAGCAGGGATTTCAGACACAAGCCGCTGGCACCTGGCAGAGGCGTGGTTATGAATGGTGCTTCCGTCTCCCTCATGTATCCATGTCTCTGATGTGCGCAAGCTTCCCGGGCCAGACAATGCACAGCAATGTGGTCTGGCCTTAAATGTCCCTCAAAGGTCACGTGCTGACCGCTGGCTGCCAGTTGATCAAGGTGGAACCCTTAGATGGCGGAGCTACGAGAAAGGAGTGGGCACTGGGGTGCAGCCCTGAGGGGGTACTGGGACCCAGGCTCTTCCTTCTGGTTCCTGGCCCTGCTTCGTCTGGTCACCAGGCAAGCAGGTCTGACCACCAAACACCCCTGCTGAGAAATTCCGCCTTTTCACAGGCCTGGCAACCCTGGGAGGGTCCAGTGACCCTGGACTGGGACCTGTGAAACTCGGAGCCCAGACACGTCTTCCTGCCTGTACGAGTCACAGGACAGGACGTTGAGCAGCACACGGAATGTGCTTAGCTTGCTCCCTGCAGCATGTCATCACCTCTGCTTCCCTGTAAGCTGGGCAAGGTCAGCACGAAGGCTGTTTGTTAAGTGGCTGTGTGAATGGCCGCAGCACACGTACCTTCTCAGAAGCAGTGGCAAGTTTGCTTCCGCTTGCGTCAAAGGCCAGCGCAGCTAAGGGACTGTCGTGAGCTGGGATCATGTTCGCCGCTCTCTGGAACAAAAAGGGGAAAGTGATAAACCTGAGCACCCTGTGCAAGAGCCTCCGCCCTGTGTTACCACCTGGCCATGGTGGCTGAAATGCCCACAGGCCGTCTCTAAACCACCATTCCGGTCCCCACCAATGCCAAAGTCACTGGATTGATGGGGGTGGAGGGATGCTCCTCAGACTGAAGGCAAAGCAAAGCAACACATCATGGCGCCAGAGACGCCAGGGCAGCCTGGCTCACTAAAGCAAAGACTCGAGAGCTCCCTGCGCACTGAGGGCCTCACCAAGTTGATGGTGTCGAAGACCTGCACTTCACCGATGCTCGCGCTCCCTGGGTACGCCAAGTAGCAGTTGTCATTGTTTATGGAGAGTGCGCACAGGCCTGAGTGACACAGGACACAAGATGCATGTCAGCACTGAGGGTCCACCGCACGGCTGTTTGAGGCAACTGAATGCTTATGTGCAGAGAGCATGGAGACAAAACACGGCTCTGCTAGCCAGGAGTGACCGCGTGAGCCGCTCCCCTGGCCCTTTTGGCTCTGGTTATTTTTGCCCAGGCCAGCCTGGACTGCTCTTTTATTTTACACTTCCTGCTGCGGTTGGGAAGACAGGTGTGTGCTGCCACACCCAGCTCTTTTCTGTTGAGATGGAGACTGAGCACTTTGTTGCTGGGCATTTTTTTTTTTTTAAGTTCTGCACCCTGAGGCACCAGCTTAGGATATGCCAGCATTATATAGAGATGAAAAGCCTCAGTGTGAAGTGATCAGCACCTCAGACCTGAAAGGTGATCAGCGAGCTCACTTGGTCATGAGAAGCATCCCATGACCAAGCGGGAAGGCAGCTTGGTTTATGACCCACGCCTTAGTTTCTTTGCTTATTTTCACACAGGGTCTCACTAAGTAGTGTAGGCTGGCCTGGAACTCAAGATCCAGCTTTAGCCTCTGTGGTGCTGGGATTACAGGTGTGCACCACCATGCCCTGCTCGAGTTAATACGTTTCACAGTGGCCCCGTGAAGAGGAGGGAGTCCCCCCCAGAGTGGCTCACCTGCAGGGTTTGGGGGCGTCTCCCTGATGGTGTGCAGCACCTTCATGTCCCGGATGTTGTGTATGTAGAGCGACTCCTCCAGGCACACGATGAGCCTCTATAAGCAGAAGGGAAGCAAGGGGGCAGGCGTGAATAAGCACCCAGCTTTCACTCAATGACGATGCTCTCTGCTTTTTCAAGACCACCACAGGGGCCAGATGCCAAGAGCTCAGGGAACAAAGATGAAGGGGGCTCTTCCCAGCTGAGCCAGCCATGTCTGTTCCCACAACTCTGCATGTACTAGGAATTCTGACAGGGCAAGGACAGTGTCACACTGGTGAGCTAGAGCTGAGAGAAGTGGCTATGGGAAGAATTTGGCAAAATGCCTTCTAAAAGTGACAGTGCCTGGGCGGGGGAGTGGCTGAAGAGGTAGGGCATTGTCCAGCAAGTGCAAATCCCTGAGCTCAAACCCCAGTACTGCCCCCCCCAAAAAAAAAAAAAAAAAGGGAAGGAAGGAAAAGGAAGTGTGTGCGGGTGACTGAGGCACGGGCAAGACAGTGCCTGGGGCTGCAAAGAGTGGAAAGCTCTCCTCTGCACACTGACTGTTTTGCAGCAAGTTCTCACTTTGAAGTTAGTATGTGAATTCATGGAATTACTGGAAAACAGGAATTCGACCTTGCAGACTCTTGTGTTAGCTGCATGTGACATGCACTTACACGTCTTAACCCTGAAGTATTCAGGACACATGTCCTGCAGTGTCCCAGGGAGCGCAACTGTGCCAGCAGACAGACCCCTCCCCAGTTCCCAGCAGGTGAGAGAGGGCCTCCCATCAGCTGCTGCAGGTTCCAGCTGGAACCTGCGCTCCAGGCCTGGCAGACAACCACTAGACCGTCTCAGGGAATAAGCTCAAGGTCCCTCGCCAAGTATGTCACCCTGTCCTGAAGGTGTAGGGACAATACAGGTCAAGTTAAGAAGCTGAAAAGGGAAAAAGCTGGGTGTGGTGGTGTACACCACTTGGGAGAACGTAGGACCGTGAATGTGAGGCTGGCCCGGGCTACGTGGCAGACCCTGTCTCAGGAGAGGGAAAAGAACCCAATAGTTTTTTAAAAGCAGTGTTTGTAGGAGCAACGTGAGCAGGAAGCTGTTAAAGGCTCTCTCTGGAGGAGGAGGAGCTCAGCGGGCCACGCACCTGCCTATTGAGCTTCACGGCCAGGATGGTGTTGGAATAGCTGTAGTTACAGATCTCCGTCCCCTTCTTAAAGTGGCAGACCTTCAGCTTCCTGGGCGCTTTGAGGCTGACGATGGCCACCAGGCTGCTGGAGAACAGCCTCTCCACGATGCACACGTCTTCCGTGTCAGCTGAAACACAAGGAAACCCGAGTAGCTGTCCAGCCTCCAAGCCCACTGCACACACACACGGGAGTGATGCTTGTGGCGCCACATCCCAGAGCAGCACAGGACGGCCAGGCAGGGATGGCCGTGCTGAGCATCTGGGGACAGTGGTGTCACCACTGTCTATGAAGATCACACAGAGGACCCACTGTGACGTTACGTGAACGGATTCTTTGCACAAGCTCTGCTGCTGGACTGAGACAGCGGCTTCAGCATTAGCGGCTTCAATAGTTTAGAAGAGCAAAGTCCTAGGGAAGAAGGCATTTTGTTTTGTTTTTGACGGAGGTCCTGCTATGTAGCCCAAGTGACTGGAAACTTGCAATTCTCCTGCCTCAGCCTCCCAAGTGCTGGATTACAGGAATGAGCCGCCATACTCAGCTTCGTAAACGCTGTTCTGACTTAGGTATGTTCAACCTAGGTAGGTGTGCCAGGATGTAAGTGCATCCTGCACTGAGAAGCACCTGTGTCTCTCTCTGGGCACATGCTTGGTATGATTTTAACATAGATGTGACAGCCAAATGTGCTGAGGGCTGGCGAGGGCACCAACACCCTGGTGTCAGCTAGAATCAGGCCGTCCAGAGCAGCACAACGTGCATTTGTCCAAGAGTGAGAGTGTGGCTACTCAGAATGGAACGGCCGTGAGGTCAAGTGCGTCATGTCACAGTCGCTCTGACCGAGCGGCGAACGCAAATCACGGTCACTCTCCCACAGCAGCAAGCACACTTCAACACCCATTCCACGAATGACACGCAAGCAACTGCCACCCGCCACCTGCCCCTGGGGAGAGGCCAGCAGTGTGGGACCGTGGGGACAGGGCCCTGCCTGCAGCTTCTCTCCTGGCAGCACCTTGGAGCAGGCGCTGGTCCCTCAGGCTCTGACTTGCAGGGAAAGACGGGCACAAGCTCCCAGGGCCTGGTGTCTGAGCACTGCCGTGCCCCGAGCCTGGGACCAGACTCTGAGAAACAGAGGATGCAGAGCCTCGCTCAGGACGGACATGCCCACATGGCCTCTCCCAACCACAGGACAGCCAGGTTGTGGGCTGTGACAAGAAGCTTGCCAGGAAGGTCATCTCCAGGGCTGGCCCAGAGGCTGCTGCCCTCACTTCTGCACCTGCGGGGCAGCCAGGAGGGTCGGGGGTAAGCCCCTCCATCACTGCCCGCTGCAACCTCAGGGCCCCCCTGCTCAGCAAAAGCACCCGCCCCTGTGCCAGGTGCAAAGCGCCAGGCTGCCTCACTCAGCTGCACTTCACGCTCCCCATTCCTGAGAAGCAACAGCCAAGCTCCCTGCTGGGCTAAGTGGGGAGGACAGGCTGGGCCTGGGGGTCACAGCTGTCTCAGGCGCAGAGGAGCTACATCTGAGTGGAATATCTGACTGCGTTCACTGATATTTGCTCCGTGTGCACTGTGGCGCTGCGCTAGGAGGAGTCCTGCTGGGCGCAGGGTGTAAGGGTGAAGGGGATCAGGAAAATCCAGCCCTGGCTCTCTGCACCCAGGTTCGAGACCCGCCATCGGGTTCCTCAACAGGGAAGCAAGAACTGGACGGCAGCCTTGTTAATTATTGGGGCTGCAGTAGTGTAGGGCAACCTGGCTTATGCAAAACTGCCTTTTTTTTTCTTTTTGGTGGCACCAGCATTTGAACTCCGCCTCACACTTGCCCAGGCAGGCGCTCTACCACTTGTTCTACTCCGCCAGCCTGCAAAACCACTTTTTACTTCAAGTCACTTTTGCTTCATTCCACTAGCCCCTAAGTCAGACCAGTGGTGAAAAGCCCTTATTCCAAATCAGCTGGGCCTCGTTTTCAGACTCCACCTGAGTCCGCCCTCTTGCTAATGTGTCTGTAACCCTCCAATTGATCCATGCTTATGGCCTTTCACAGAATACTGACAAACTCAGTCCTCTGCTATGCAGGTCCCTGGCTGAGGGCTGAAGTATGGAGGGAGGTGAGCAAGCGGAGGAGGAACCCAGGCAGCTACCTGGAGAGAGGGCGGGTGGAGAGGATGACCTGTGGCAAGCAGCTGGAGACAGCCACAGCTAAGGCAAAATTGGTTTTCAACACAGTAGTTATGAGGCCCACTGACAGAGAGCCGGATCCTCTGGTGGGGACAGGGGCACTGCAGGAGTGAGGAGAAGCGCAGCTCACTACACTGGAGACAACGAGAGGTAGGAGGGAGAGGAGCGGAACAGATGCAGATGGGAGTGGGAGGAGGGAGTAGGGTGTCCTGCCACCTACAGCAGCTCCTCATGGGAGCTCAGGGAGTTACTGATGCAGAGGGCAGGGCAGAAGTGGCGGAGACTGTCATCTGTTATCAGAGCGACACAGGGCCAACACAGGCATAGGCAAGTCTCCACCTGAAGTCATGGAAATAGATCCAAACTGACACAAGTCCTGTCTGTGCAACAGATGCAGAAAAGATGGGTTGCCATGAGTCTCACCAGGGTGCAACTCTACAAACCCTGACAACCAGAAGATGGGGCCTTCACTGACGGACTGCTCACAAAGCATCTACAGCTAACACTTTCCTTCATGGTGCACATCTCAATTCTGCCCCTCAGGATGGAGCAAGGCAAGGATGCCTCTCCTCACTGGGCACTGGACTCCTGGCCTTGGCAACAAGGCCAAGAAGGAAGGAACAGCAGGAGGACTGAAGAGGAAAGTGTTTCCTGTACCTAATTTACAAGGCAAGGTCACAGCGTGCAGACAGGGGGTGGCTCAGTGGTAGAGTGCTTACCTAGTATGCTGGAGACCCTGGGTTCCAGCGCTGGCACTAACGAAAACCATGCATACAAAAACCGACTGTAGGGCTGGAATATGGCTCAGCATAGAGCTCTTGTATTTTATACTATTGGAGAAGCTTAAAAACTGCATTTACAGCCTAGGTACCAGTGGCTCACACCTATAATCCCAGCTACTCAGGAGGCTGAGATCAGGAGGATCACAGTTCAAGGCCAGATTGTGCAAACAGTTCGAGAGATCCTATCTCGAAAAAACCCATCACAAAAAATGGGCTGGTGGAGTGGGTCAAGGTGTAGGCTCTGAGTTAAGTCCCAGTACCACAAAAAACAAAAACAAAAAACACCTGAATTTACTCCCAAAGTTACCAGGAGTAAGCTTACGAGCAGTGCCACCTCCACACCACATGACCAACTCATACTAAAGAGGTGCCAGGTAGATGCTAAGTAGGTGGGGAGCTACCAGGTTCACGGACTGGAAACTCAGTTGTTATACCAGTTCTCCTCAAACTGACATCAAGGTCCCATGCTGTCCTTGCAATAATCCTGGAGGCTTTTTGGCTGCTGAAAGCCGACTGAAAATTTCATATGGAAGGTAAAGGATGAGAATACCCACTGTAAGGGAAGCAATGACAGAGATTAGTCCGTTTTGATGAGGGAGGCACTTTAAAAGCAGACACCTAAAGAGGCATGGGAAACAACAGGCTTCTCAGAGAAGTAACAAGGCCTTGCCAAAATAACGAGAGGCAGCTGCACAGTGTGGGTGGTGGGCCCCAAGGCCAGGACGAGCTGACCACACCCTCCTGAAACGCCCAGCTTGATAAGGAGAGGGACAGACCGGTGGTCACATTTAATGAGGTGACTAGGTGCTAAGCAATCACAAATACAGAACAGTTGGGCCTCAGCCTGGTAGAGCCCTATATCGTCTCCCGGACTTCAGCTGTTCTGTGGCTTAGGCCCTTCACCCAGCCCCACCGGCTTTTGTAAACTTTGTGCTTCACTTTAATCCTGGTCCCGAGTCCTCAATCACTGCCTACTCCAGGACCCGAGCCTGGGGAACACTCCAGTATCGGCACGACGCTCTTGAAGACCGCTGAAGCTGCTCAGAGGGTGGGAACAGAGCCCCCACTCAGCACTCTGCAGGCCGTGCTCAGGCACGAGAGGACAACCTCTCCACAAACGGTGTAGAACAGGAATCCTGAGGATGTCACTGTCAACCCTGCCTCACACACACACTGAACGTGAGGCCGGGAGATGGACCGCCGGCTGAACCGTAAAGCCAGCACACAGTTCACCTGCCCGGAAGGTCCAGACGGCAGATGTGCAGAAGGAAGGGATTAGTGGCAGTGTGGAGGGACTGCTGATGGACACGGCTTTCTGGGGGCGGGGGTGGGGAGGATGATAAAGACACTGGGAAATTAAACAGGGTGCACAGCTCAGGAAATACACTGAAACCCACTGAGTTACTTCCTTGGAACAGACTTGTATGTGAATCACGCCCAACAAGGCTGCTCCACACGCACACACGCACACAACGCAACCACAGGCAGCTCACTGCGCAGCCTGGACTCTGGCTGACGTGTTTAAGTTCTGATGCAAGGAGCAGGGACTACCACAACTCTCCACCTGTGAGCAGAGACTATGAGGCAGCCCTTCCTGGAGATCAGTCCTCAGACTGGAGCGGGGGTGGGGGTGGGGTCTCGATGGGTGTTGAAGGGTCTCTGGAACCCCTGGTACCATCAGTACCTCCTCAGTCTTCTGGGGGGAATACGTGAGACTTCCATCAGGTTTTCAAAGCAGGCCCTCTGCAAACAGCAGGTGGCCTCCAAGCAGTTCACACTCAACAGAACCTCTAATACACAGCACACAGGGACCCCACCCCGAGCGACCACCCTCCCACCAACAGTGGTTCCAGGTGGTAACCAGAAGGCAGGACAGTCACATGAAAAGACGGCAGGGCTGAGAACAAAGGAGGGAAGGAAGTCTGAACATACACTTCTGTGCCCTGAGTGGCTGTGGTCGGGCTTTCAGGACTCTTCCAGGTGACCCGTGCCCCGTTTCTGCAAGCCTTCCTCCTAAAGCCCCCCAGCTCACCTCCTAACCTAGGGAATTCATCATCTGAGTCAGGGAGGGCGTGGTTTTGTTCTGTGGCTTTGAGAAAGCTCCTGCAGTGGGGGATGTGGGGGTGAGAAGAGCAGAGCCATGACGAAAGGGACAACACACACCTGTGTGCTGGCCTGCTGGGGGAGCTCCTGGTACTGCCAACCTCACTGAAGTTAATATTCTGGCCAGCAGTCCTGCCAACTAGGAACGGTAGCAGCAAGCTCACAGCTCACAGCTAAGACACAGGCGACGATGCAGAGTAAATGATCACTTGCTTCCCAGCCAAGTCAGGAGGCTTGTTTTTATAATAAAAGGTGCTGTGTGTGGATGAATGCATTTCTATGACCCACAAGGCTCGGGTGCTTCTGCTAAGCTAAGGCACCTGACTGCTGGCTGCTGTACGAGGGCTGCCTTCCCACTCAGAAACCTGTACCATGCAAAGGAAATGCAGCGTGGTCCAGGGAAAGCTAGCTTTTAAACTCCCGTCACAGCTGACAAACAGTAAGTCCGAGTCTTACTCACTCTGCCCATCAGGGGGCGATGCTGCAGCAGTGATATTTAGGGAAGAGGCCACGCCCGTGTGCTCCGAGCATCTGCAGACAACTAGGCATGCAGGCAGAGCAGGCTGAGCACTCACAGGGCTAAATGTCGACCTCGGCCAGGGTCCCTCGCTCCTGCCTGAAATCACGATGTGGATGGAGAAAACCTGACAATGCTGCCGGGCAAAGGTTTTGCTGGTTTTTTAAGTAGATGAAGGACAAGCAGGTTTCTCTCGTTTTTCTTCAGGACCAGCTGTGGCTCATTTTGACTGTGACAGACGTAGAAAAGACCCACTTCTGACGGACTGCAGGGGGACAGGCCAAGGCCGAGACTGACGGCCACACGGACCTCTGAAGCAGAACTCCTTGCTGAGCAGCTAGAGAACAGCCTTGACATTCACTCAGAAGCCTGCCCGTTTCCTGAGACATTCTTTTATCTACTCAATGAAAGCACGTGAGAGGACAGGTGGATGGTACAATTAAAGGGCCCCTGTCCACTTTGCCATCTACTTTTCGGAAGAAAACGTCACTAGGGGACACAGAATCGCTATGTACCTTCCTAGCTGGCCAGTAATTCCTCAGATACCCTCGAGACCTCCCACTAAGCCCTGCCAAAAACCAGGCCAGAAGCGTGCCCTTCCCTGAGCGGGGTCTCCAGAGGGGGCACTCTGGATTTCAGAATGGACACAGTGACCAAGGAAACAGCAGCACAGCTGAGGCGCCCCGACAGCCCCTCACAAAAGCCAAGGGATTGCTAGTCCAGAAACGGGGCTGCCCCGTACCTTTCTGGAGGAAGTACTGGTGTAGCTCATGGGGAATGCTGTCACCAGGGCCACACCTGTCACCCGGGTCACAACTGCAGCCAGGTGTGGAAGGAGGCTAAGCACCAGAGGCAGGGCCCAGGGCGGAAGGAGTAAAGCTCCCAGTCCTCCTCCAGTTAGAGGCAAGTGTCATGAGGCAGGAACGCTGTCACTCCAGTCTGGTCAGGTCCTCAAGACCAAGTGAACATGAGATGGATTCAGGCAGCCTGCAGAACCTCCCACCCGTGGTAGATAGAACAGGAAAAGTTGATCTACAGGGACCGTGCACACGGAGAAGGCGAAGCTGAGGACACTGGAACAGGGAGCACTTGGAGGAAGCGCTGGCACTGCAGGTGAGCAGGGGTCCCTGGTCCCCAAACCACACCACGGAGATAAGCAAGGCATCTGCATTCAGTCTGTCCTTGGCCACAGCCAACAGGAAGGTCACTGTGCTCTGCAGTCCCAGAAGGGATGGTCCTCAGTGTAGGTCAGGGCTGCCCCAAAGGTTAAATACACAGGGGGAGGAAAGATTTACCAGCCACACCTCCAACCAAGGACCAGTATCTAGAATACATAAAGAACTCGAAAAACAGCACCACAAAACCAATGACCCAGTTAGAAACTGGGGAAAGCGTGACGGGAGGACTCCTGAGGACATACAGGGGATGGTAAGAACACAGAAAGGTCTGTTGTCATCAGCTTAAGGGACACGCAGATGAAACCTATGATGAGACACCCTGTGCACACCAGAATGACTGGGAAATAGTGACACACCAAATGCCTGTGAGGACGCAGAGGCACCAGACCGCCTGTGCCTGGTGAGAAGGTAAAATGGAACAGCCACCCTGGAAACAGTTTCACAGGTTCTTAATTAAAGAGTATGGCACCAACACACACAGCCACTACACTTCAAGAAATGAAAACTTACGTCTAGGTACGTCCTCACAAAAACCTAGACGTGAGTCAGGTGTGGTGGTAACCACCTGTAATCTCAGCACGCACGTGGAGGAAGGAGGGTCATGAGTCAAGGTCAGCCTGGGTTACAGAGTGTGACTCTGCCTCAAAAAACAAAAAACCTATACATGAATATTCATACTGGACTCAGCCCGTGTCCCGACAGGTGAATGCTGACAACACTGTGCAGCACCAGGGTGTCACTACCACCATTGGGAGCTGATGGAACCTTTGGATGGGGGCTCTTAGTGACCTAAGAGCCTATCCTCAGGAGGGCGCAGGCCTGGCCATGCCCAGCTCCGTGGCTTCCAGGTTTCCAGACGGGATCACCTGGTCCAGCGTGCACACTGCCTCTGCCACGATGTGAGGTGTCAAGGAGGCCCTTGACAGAGTGCAGGCTATGCAGACATCATGAACAACTAAAGCTTTTCTTCACAAGTTAGCTTGTCTCAGGTATTTTTGTTACAGCAATAGCAAAAAACCTGACTAACCCAACTTTCAAAACTGAGAAACAGGAGGACACTCAGTGGCCGGGACTAGGGACGGGGTGGAGTGGCGTGGGACAAGGGGCTGAATGGTTATGGAAAGGCAGCCTGAAGGACATTGGTGTTGGGCTGTCCGGTGCCTTGACTGGGGTGGGTACGGGAGCCTCCCCACATCCAGAGCTGTGCAGAACTAAGCACACACAGGGGGACAAAGAACACTGCACAAACGCCAATAGGAGGGCTGGGTGCTGGGACTCTGATTCTGCATCAAGGCTCCACAAGATGCCACCCCAGGGGATACGGGCAGAAGGGACACCAGGGGCCTGTACTTGTGACACCTGCCTACGAGTCTCCCATCGCCTAACCTCACAGGTGTCCGTACCTACATTTCTTCAGCAAATACCACTTCACACACTCATTACTTCTAGCCCTACAATCGCAGACAGGCTTCATTTCTGTTTTGCCAAAAAGTAAAAGAAATAGAGGCCCAGAGATGAAGCAGTATATCTAAAGCCACACAGTAAGTGACTGCACTAGAAACCACAGCTCGGGACCTTCTTTGACACGTGGGACACTCAGACACCATGAGATGGCGACTCAAGAACCAAAGTCGTTCCTACAGGGACTGTGAAAGCTCCAGTTTCCTACAACAGTGACCTCAATGGCTTAAATGGCATTAAGAAGGGAAGAAATTATAGATACATAAGGTGAGACACCAAAACGACAGCCATTCAACCGCACGTGTACTTTACACACATGCTGACGTGCAGAGAGATCTGTGAGGACACCAACAGATCGCCACTAGGTGTCACCTCGTAGGGAGACGAGGCAGAAGAGGGGGACTGGTCATGGAGTGTCTGGACTGCATCCACCCAGAGCGTTTGAATTTCAGACTGCATTCCAAGTTAAGTACAATTGATCCACTTTTTTTAAGAAGGGAAAATAAAGAAACACTTACTGCATTCATAGATCTGTTCCAGCTTATCCACAGAAGAAAGGGAGAAAAATTTATAACCGGACTTACTACCAACAGCTAGGGACCTGCAAAAAAGCCAAATTCACAAGTAAGAGCTGAGGCAGTGAAATCACACGAGCCGCTCCCACCTTACCAGCTACCGACCTGCGCGTCCCAGATGCCAGTCCCGTCACTGGCCTAGACGCGGTGTGTGGCAAAGGGTGCTACAAGGCCAGTAACATGGGCACAGTACTGTTGACACCTGTAAAGCCTTTTCTGGACAGGTGGCGTACGGCATGGAGTGTACTGTGGACTTGAAACAAAGGCCGGTATAAGAGGCAATGGCTTGACTGTGGTGACCACAACATACCTGTGTATCATGGTATTGTGCTGTACCCCTTAAATACATCCAATTCTGTTTGTTAATTACCTCTCAGTGAAGATGGGGAAAGACTACAACACTGGAAAACACCCCTCAAGACCTTAGAAAACTCTGAAGCTTTGAGATAAAACTGAGCAGTAGTCTCTCAGGTGATGTGGCTCACAGGCACAGGGGGTCTGGAAGTTACATGGGCTGGCACCATATTCACCTTCTAGGTATATGTGGCAAGGCCCTTCCCACTTGGGCTGTGCTACAGCTGAGTGGTGGGGTGGACACCATGGGGACCTGGGATTATATGGACACACACATCACTGCTGGCTCAGGTGGGAAGGAAGGACCCTTCTGATGGCCTCCCGCTGAGCCCCCACACTCATCGCCAGGGCCCCGCTTTGCCAAGAAGCTCGGAGGGACCTCAGGAGCTGGCCACCCCCCGCAGCACAGGACTCGGTGACAGCAAAGGAGGGCTTTCCTCACCAGAGATCACCTCTGTCCAGAAGGCAAGTGACCCAGGACAGCAGGAAGGAGCAAGCATAAAGCAAAAGCAGGAAGGACAAGCAAGGGGAGCGAGGAATACAGAGGAATCAGACACCAGAGTCATTTTAACTCTGGAAGAACAAAAAGACACAAAGATAAACCAGACCAGACAGCATGAAGACAGGAGCACCAATACTCCAAGACACAATCAGGGCTGTCTGAACAATCGTGTCATCTGTTCTGCACACGTGTTAGAAATATGAGAAGGAAATGGCTATCAGAACTACTAAAATTGTAAATCATAAGAAAAAAAGTGGTGGGGGCATTGCTCAAGTGCCTCAAGTTCAAGCCCCAGTACCACTCGAAAAGAAAAAAAAAAAAAAAAGAGATTACAGTCAGGCATGTGGTGCACTTCTGTAATCCCCAACACTGGGGAGGCTGAGGCAGTAAGACTGTGAGTTCAAGACCAGCCTGAGCTCCAGAGGGAACCTGCCTCAAACCACCTCACCCCCTCCAAAATTAAAATTACATAGGCTCATCTTAGAAGTATGAAATGGCAGAAACAAAACATTTTTCTACCTGCTTATGTAATTTTTCTTTGTTTAAAAAAAACCCCCTCACTATATTTAATTAATTTTGGATATCAGTGCCTTTTGAAAAGTAGTAATAAAATAATAAAAATAAAAGAACCAACCAAAAGCTGGGCCACTGGCTCATGCCTATAATCCCAGCTACTCAGGAGGCAGAGATCAGGAGGATCGTAGTTTCAGGCCAGCCTGGGCAAAGAGTTTGAGACCCTATCTCAAAAAAAACCCATCACAAAAAAGGGCTAGTGGCGTGGCTCAAGGTACTGTAGACCCTGAGTTCAGACCCCAGTGACACACACACACACACACACACACACACACACAACAAAGCAAGAATGTCCAGGCAGGCTAAAAATAAAACAAATCTGAGCAACTCAGAACTTTAAGAAATTATTGCTCAAGAAAGTATTTTCCAGAAAACTAAGGTCTGCTATTTTAAGCTATCTTAGTCCCCCACTATTTCTGAATTAAAACACAATTCTAAATTGTACACTTGCCTGTGTTCTTGAAACAAGGGGAAAGCCATTTTTCTTTTCTTTTCTTTCTTTCTGAGGCGTGGTCTCACTATACAGCCCAAGATGGCCTTACACTCATGATCGTCCTGCCTCTGCCTTCCAAGGGCTGGGATTACAGATGTGCACCACTGCACCTAGCTTGAGAATTCTTTGAGGGCTGTGCCCCATGGATGGCCCGCTGTGGCTTGGTGGCACAGTACACACTCAACACGCACAGGGCTCCAGGCTCCATCCCTGGTACCAGAACAATTTCTTACCTTTATTTCTGCATGCAGTTGTCACTTCCGGGTGACCACCCTACATCATTAAGAGCCCCTCTCCTAATTCCCCTTGACTTGGAAACCATGCCACCATGCTTATCACCACTGGTAAATAAGCTGAGATGGATTTCCGCTGAGGCAAGTTAAGGAGCCTCACTCAGAACTCAGCTCCCTAGTCTGACACAGCTTGAGTCTCAGCTGTGCCCCCTACAGGCAGGACCTGTTAAAACAAGGCTTGGCCAATCACGTCTGCCATTCTGGATAGTCACAAGCTGATTTACAATATTAAGTAGCTCGGCTAGAATTTTAATCCCAAAGTTTGTGAAAGTGATTGTGCATTTCCATCGGTGAGCTACAGTACAGCAGGAATGTATCCAAGACAGCCAATTAAAATATTACGGCTGGGGGGCGTGGCTCTAGTGGTAGAACACCTGCCTAGCAAGCATGAGGCCCTGAGTTCAAATCCCAGTAATCCTAGTACACCAAAAAGAAGAAAAAAATTGGTATTATGAAAAGGCTGGGGCGTAGCTCTCTGGTGGAGCACACACCCGCTGAGCATCAGCAAAGCCCTGGGTTCAAGCCCAGCACAAGAGTGTGCACACACGCGTATGTTTTTTCAACTCAAACACCAACAATCAGGTCCACACACTCCTTTCTGGAGATTCTGCTTTTTAATTCGCCTGACATAAAATGGCAGACTTGGAGAGGTAGACCCTCACATAAGTACGGGACTTGCTTTAATAAGCAGTCTTTCAGCTACAAATCTGTGTGCGTTTTTAAAAAGTTAATGCCGTGATATCTTTGACTGACAAAAGGGAAAAACTAGTGACCATAGAAAAAGTATATCTTTCTTAATTTCATGTCACAACTGTACTCTACTTTCAGCTATGCCAGCTCCAAATCCAGAGAGCCCCTATTCAGCCCTCTCCAGAGACCAGGTGTGCATCTGCCAGGCAGGGGAGCCCAAAACTGCCCCTTAGACACAAGCAGTGCTGTCTCATCCTGCCCTCTTCCTCTCCCACGCTGCCCCAAGCCAGGTCCTGAGGCAGGAGGCGACTGTGGGAGCCTCGGTGTTTCTCTGCCTTTCCTCCACACTAGCAAGGTAGGATTTAGTTCCTTCACCAGCTGCTGGCTCCAAATCTTGTTGCTAGCGTCTCCTTTCTCCTTCCCAAACTGCGGGGTTTTTAAACCTCTTTTGGACATTTCATGAGGACCTGGGGACAGAGCCAAATAAACGCTTGTGTTTGATCCACCAATTGTGACTGAAAGCCCTTGTCACTGAGTTTAAACTTGAGCACGGAGCATGTAAAAGCTAATCTTTTTTTTTTTTTTTGGTACTGGGGCTTGAACTCAGGGCCTACACCTTGAGCCACTCCACCAGCCCTTTTTTTTGTTTTTTTTTAGCAATGGGTTTTTTTTTAAGATAGGGTCTCAGAACTATTTGCCCAGGCTGGCTTAGAACTGTGATCTTCCTGATCTCTGTCTCCTGAGTAGCTAGGATTACAGGTGTGAGCCACTGACACTTGGCAAGGTGGCTGTTTTTACTAAGATGCAAAGGCCACACAGCCTCCCCTGAAACAGGCTTGGGAAGGGGCCACTGCTTAACTGTGCGGTTAAGGGGAAAAGGCCACCGCCATAAACTGCAAGCAGCCCACCCAAGGGTGCCCTAAGAAGCATCACAGCCCCAAGTTTAAGATGGGCCCAGCCCTTCCCTCCACCTGACTCAGGCAAAGCTTTTTTTCTTTTTGGGGTTTTGAACTCAGGGCCTTGTGTTTGCTAGGCAGGTGCTCTACCACTTGAGTCACTCTGCCAGCCCTTTTATTGTGATGGGCTTTTTTGAGATAGTTTTTTCTGAACTATTTGCCCGAGGCTAGCTTTGAACTGATCCTCCTGGTCTCTGACTCCTGAGCAGCTGGGATTACAGACGTGTTCACCAGCACCCAGCCCTAAGGCCTTTCAAATGCACCAGGGTCCAAAGCAGAGTGATTTCCTTCAGGGACTTCTATGTTATCACTGCTCACCCTGAACCCACATCAAAAATGGGGAGTCACCCCACTTGTGATGCATCATGGAAGGCTCGGGCTCAGTCCACTTCCCATGAGCCACTGCTGAGGGACAGTGTCCTCAGTGACACCCACCCTCTGCACAACCATCTCTGATTGACAGATGAGGACAAGGCCCAGAGTTATTCCTCCCAGAACAAACACTGACACCTGGAAAGGTGAGAAGCACGGTGAAAGGCATCAGAATACCTCCAGACCTTTGTGACATCAGCTCTGCAGAGACAGGCTAGGGAAATCAAGTCCCTTTCAGCCACAGCCACATCTTGGCCTTTCCCCAGATTCGATGCCCACTGGAAAGACTTAGCCTGACATTTCCACTTCATGCTCCATTGCCCCTTTGCATATATTCACTAGTTGACTTCACTTTTTTCTTTTTTTGGTGGTACTGGCATTTTAACTCAGGGTCTTGTTCTTGTTAGGCAGGTGCTTTACCACTTGAACCACCACCCCTTTTGGCTTTAGTTCTTAGATGGGGCCTCACACTTCTTTTTGCCTGTGCCAGCCTGGACTGTGAGCCTCCTGATCTCTGCCTCCAATGGACCTGAGATTACAGGCATGCACCACCATGCCCAGCCTAACTCCAATTTCAAAAGGCTAGAAAGGGTTTCAATATTAGCCTTCCGCAGAGTTACTTTCAGAAACCAGGGTGGGAACTAACCAGTCAAAATCAGGATGACGGCGACCAGCTGCTCTTGCTCTCTGATTCACTGCTCTAGTTAAAACAAAAACAAAAACAAAAAAACCAGATGGTAAAAGGCAAATAAAACTTAATCACACCTTTGGGATAAGAATCATGAAATTAAAAAAAACCCTTATCATTTGACATCATATTACCATGACAAGAAGAAAGGGTAAGATATAGCTTGATGTGCAAAGAATATCGTGTTAAGTGATTCAAAGAGAAAAGACCAAGTAAGATTCCTTACAACACACCTGCAGCTACTGCTCAAATGGCTCAATGCTGTCCCCGAACATGGGAAATGTGAATTCTAGCTCAACATCCTTCACCCTGCTAAAAATTGTGTTCCTCTAACAGAATAAATCCTAGAGTCAGAAAGGAAAGAGGGCAGAAAGCACAAAGCTTTTACATAGGAACTTTTGTATTTCTTTCCAGTGTAGCTTTTTTTTTTTGTGGAAGTGGGATTTGAACTCAGGGCTTCACACTTGCAAAGCAGGTTCTCTACCACTTCAACCACACCTCCAGTGCATTTTGCTCTGGTTATTTTGGAGATGGGGTCTTGGGAACTATTTCCCCAGGCTGGCCTTAAACTTCAATCCTCCCAATCTCAGTCTCCCAAGTAGCTAGGATTACAGGCATGAGCCACGGCACTCAGCTAGCATAGTGTGGACAAGGTATAAAACTCTGGTAACTACCACCATCCTTACATGTCCCCAAATCCTAGGGCTTAGAATCAAAACATAATTGCTTTGAAATTTCTTCCTCTCTACCTGGATAGCTCAGCCCAGTTATAAAAACTGCCACAGGCTGTCCAGATGTTGTTCTTGCGCTGGCTTTGGGTCACATGCAATGCCACACTGTTTGGCAGCTTTAATCTCTACAGATTTCTAAATGTCTTCAGGACTCTGCAGAGGGGACAGAGCACTCGGAAGAGAACTCAGAAGACAGCATTTCCCTCTGGGCCTCATGCCACTCTAAGCAACTGTATGATCCAGGCAGCTATGAGCCTTCCTCAAGTTCAACTTCCCAGCTGCAGCTGGACCAGGTGATCAGCCCCAATGTGCATCTGTCTTTACTAATCTGGAGAATTTGGGAAGGTGCTATTGAGTGCCTACTGCATACTTCATCTGGGTCTTTGCCACTCAACTAACTTTCCAGCAGATAACAAATAAATTCTACTCTGCTGATCCCATCCTGCCAGTAACAAGCAACTACTTACTCTGATGGCAGTGATCCACGCCTGATCCTCCTCTTACATCACTTCCTCTTACTTCCCAAGATGGCTCTCCCTCCTGTCCAGTACAGTAACTCATCCTTCCTTCTCACCTACCCAATATCCTCCCAGGTCACCCAGGCAGCCCGGAAACAACCAGCTTCTGATCCGTATCACAGCGATTTGGAAAACCAGGGCTCCACACCCGCGGGGTGGCAGGAGGCTCTTTCTTTGGCCTCTTGAAAACATCGACACTCCCTGTTGTTTACACTTAGCTCTTGACTCAGTTTCCCCCCCCAGGTCTGACTTTGGCTAAGTTTGCTGCAGAAAGGAACAAAAGTTACAGCGAGGAGCAAAAGGAAGAAAAGACAAGGAGGGAATGGAGGGGTGTGTGTGTGAGGGGGGTGCTCAGATTGGAAAAGAGGGGTTGCGGAGCAAGAAGGGGAGACGGGCGAAGAGGAGGCCGCCCACCCGCCACCAAGTTCTGCCCAACTTTGCAAGAGGCGGGATCTGAAAAGCGCCAGCGCCCCAATAGCAGGTGGAACCCCCATTTCCATCACCTCCCAACCCAGGTAGGGGGAGAAGGGTCCAAGCCCCGGCCAGACCCGGGGCGCGCGCCCCACGCCCAGCCTGCTCTCCCCCGCCCCCACCCCTGACCTCCGAACCCCGACCCCGACCCGGCCTTACGTGTTGTCCTGGTTGAAGTTGGCGAACAGCAGCTGGCCGGCGCCGGCCTCACCGCTCTGGCTCGCCAGGTTCATGGCTGCGCGCGCGGCGGGTCGGCCCGCAAAGGGGCTGCGCGCGCGCGCGTGGCCGGGAAGTGTGTAGGGGGAGCTAAGGGATGGGAGAACCGGTCAAGCTAAGCTCAGGATCGTCGCCCGGTTCCACTCGCCACCTGAGTCGCCAACACCCGCTGCTCGGAGATCAACAGCCGCCTCATCCTCCCGTCCCGGCTCTTGTTTATGCTTCGGAGCCGGGGGGCGTCTTGTGCGCCTGCGCGGCCCCGCCCCTCGCGACGCACGGCGTCGTACTGCGCAGGCGCACTGCTAAACCTCGCCCCCTTCGCATTCGGCCTGGGCTGGGGTTCCGGTCGGATGCGCATGCGTGGAAGCGCGCCGTGGCGTCTGCGGGCGCGCATGCGCACTGGGGAAAAAAAGCTTTTCTCTTAATTCTAAGGCAGTCCTGGTGTTTGCTACCCTATCAGTGCGCTGAATCTCTCTTCTCTGACTCTCTCTGCCACCCCATATAGGCAATGCTGTAGTCCAGTTTTACAGATCTGAGAACCCAAGAACTTTAAATTAATTGCCAAGTGTTATATCTGAAATCTGAAACTGTTTCTTCAAGGCCCATGGATTGTGGGTCCCTGGGATAAGATTCTGTCCTTAAATGTATACTAGGTTGTATTCGTTCAACCATATATAGGAAGCACCTTTCAAGTGAGCTAAATAGGACCCACCCCCCCCTTCCCTCAAAGAAGACTTAATGAGGGCTATTTTTAAGTAAAGACATTTATTTATTTGTTCCAGTACTGGGATTTGAACTCATGGCCTACACCTTGAGCCACTCCACCAGCCCTTTTTGTGATGGTTTTTTTTTTTAGATAGGGTCTCAGGCAAACTCTTTGCCCCCCCCCCCCCCCCCCCCCCCCGGCTGACTTCAAACCGAGATCCTCCTGACCTCTGCCTCCTGAGTAGCTGGGATTACAGGCGGGAGTCACGGTGCCCAGCTCACAGTCACATTTATAAAGAAGAGGGTACAAAGAGCTCGGGTATTTTAGGCCAGGTAGCCCAAACTCGAGGGCCAGGGTCTGGCAAAGAAGCAAGGCTTCCCAGAGGACGTGGACTTGAAGCTCAAGTGTAGCCAGCCCCAGGGTGTGGGTCCGTCTTGTATCACAAAGGTAATGTATAAGGGTGTGACTTCTCAAGGAACTCCTTCCCCAGACTCCAGTGGGCAGATGGACACACAGCCTGGGTGGGGACACAGCTGGTGGCCAGGTCAGGGTGCTGCAGTTAAGAACCATTGTTCAAGAAACTGATCACCGCGCAGAGCCTGGGCTGCCATTGAGGATGGAGGGGGAAGTAGGTCAGTTCTAGCCCCAGGAACAAGGACAAACGTGGCCTTTTAAATAAAAGGAGTAAGCTTTCCCCCGTCTCACAGCACACTCAGAAATCACTTTGTCAGGGGCCCGTGGTTTACGCCTGTAATCCCAGCCACTCAGGAGGCAGAGATCAGGAGGATCGCGGTGCAAAGCCAACCTAGGCTTTGAAAAACCCATCACAAAATAGGACTGGTGGAGTGTCTCAAGGTGTAGGCCCCACATTCAAACCCCAGTGCTGCCTATAAATAAATAAATAAATAAATAAATAAATAAATAAATAAATCGGTCGAGCAATCAATCAATAAGAAGTCAGCAACAAAAGGGCACCTACTGGGTGACTCTGGGGAGTCCATGGACTGAGCAAAGCCTGAGTGATCTCCTGCCTTCTAGACACTTCCTTCTGCTCATTCTGGGCAGCCATTTTTATTTTTCCCTTGTTCACCAGAGTCTATTATTCCACCCAGGTTGGAACCTCCATCCCTCTCGACTACATCAGTGATGAAATCCCAAATGGTTTGGAAGGAGGCTGAGTGTCTAATTCACTAGAGTCGTGACCTGGGGTGACAGGGAGCTGTTGGGTGCTCACATCTCAAAGTCCAGGACGCGCGGGTTGTGAGGTTGGTGTCAGAGGCGCCAGAGGTCATTCGGTTTTACGCTCTTTGCTTGGAGGTGCGTATCTCACAGGCTGTGTCACAATGGAGCGGTCAGCAGGCCATTTGCCCAAGTCACAATTCCTTCACCTTCCTACAATTTTCTTGGTCCAAGGAGAGCTGGCATGCCACTCCACCTGCCACACGCTCCCGGCCTCTTTCTTTGCTTTATGTGTTCTTTCTCTCTTTCTTTTGTTCAGTGTCTTTTTTTCTGGCATTTGGATTTGAACTCAGGGCCTTGCACTTGCTCGGAAGGCGCTCTATCAGTTGGGTCATGCCTCCAGTCCTTTTGTGTGATGGGTTTTTTTGAGATAGGGTCTCACAAACAATTTGCCCAGGACTGGCCTCGAAGCACAATCCTCCTGATCTCTGCCTCCTCAGCAGCTGGGATTGTGAGCCACCAATTAGGCTCGATTTTGTTCTTTTTGATAATGCATTTCTATCTTCCTGCCTCAGCCTCCTGCGTGCTGGGATCGCAGGTGTGCCTCACCACATCGGGCACACCTCCCTCCCTGGATATTTTGGAGATGGGGGTCTTGCTAACTTTTTGCCCAGGCTGGCCTTGAACCTTGATGCTCCCTATGTCAGCCACCTAAGAAGCTGGGAATATAGGCGTGAGCTGTCACGCCTGGCTGCTTTGTATTTCTGCATCAAACTTAACCTGTTCCAATACACCATATAATCTTGTCCATCTAGAACACACACCGGACGTCTCTGCCGTTCATTCTGCGTCCCTGTTGCCTGCAGAGCTCAGCTCCGGGTCTCCTTTCATGGTGGTCAGGACAGGCTGGAGCTGAGAGCCGCTGTCCACTCACCTCGTTTTTGTTGCCCTGCCTTGTTATCCAGGTGGTATGGGAACCACCAAAAGGCAAGATTGGGACTAGGCTGGATTTCTACCAGGGACTCTCCCTCCGTGTGTGAGGTCAGTGACGCAGCTCACCTGGGGACAGCACAGGCTGACATTCCTGCTGGCACAGAGAGCGGGAAGACGCCCGGGAGTTCTGCCATGACCTCAGGATCCCTCCAGGTGACTATGCCACAGGGCAAGGACAACATCAGAGAGACACAAGCCTGAAGCCGGGTGAGGTGGTGCACGCCTGTAATCCCAGCACTGAGGAGGCTGAGGCAGGGGGACAAGCAAGTTCCAGGCCGGCCCCAAGGATGCATCTCCCTCCTCTCTTTCAGTCTCCCCGGGGAGCCGTCAAGTGCCTAGAACATTCCTCAGGGGCCCCGTTTACATGCAGCCCTAAGCACTGAGCAGCCCTCCTACAGTCGATCCCAAAAAAGCTCGTGGGAGAGGCAGCTGGCATGGAGGTTCAAATCCTGGCTCAGGTCCTCAGGACCATAGTGTCCTTACATCAGCCATCTACCCTCATGGGGAGTCAGTTAATTTCTTCAGTATAACAAAGACTAGAAAACCCACCTTCTGGGAGCTTTACTGGAGGCGGGCAGGGGTTGTTTCCAGAACAGTTGTTCAAGATTTGGAAAAAAGAAAAAAACCCTCCTCCACCAAAGTAAAGAAGGAACGCCGCCGAAAATAGTCAAATGCAAGTTTCCCCAGCACTCTGGAAGTCTCAGGACCCTTCGACAAACCCAGGGAGAATTTACCCACGGCAAATGCTGGGTCACAGTAAAAACACCGAGCTTTGGTGCGTTTTAACCGGCCCTAATGTCATCACTCTCTCCCAGACCCGTGGGAGCCTGGAAAAAAAACCCCAGTTTGCAATCAGGTAGCTGTGAGTAAGTCTCTGCCCAGCTCCTGAAGGAAGCAGAAGGGCTTGGAGCCCCCACCCCAAAAGATCCATCCCCAGGGATCCTCGCTATCTGACCTGCCTGATAATTTGATGAAGAACTGTGTTCTCAAACATGTCTGTGCAAATACGCTTAACCCAGATATCCAAAAGGATCTTTGATAATTATTTAAAAGTTCAACTGTTGCCAGGTGCGGTGGCTCACACCTGTAATCCCAGCCACTCAAGAGGCAGAGATCCAGGAGGATCATGGTTCGAAGCCAGCCCAGGCAAATAGTTCTTGAGACCTTACCTCAAAAAAAAAAAAAAAAAGCACAACAAATGGGCTGGTGGAGTGGCTCAAGGTGGAAGCCCTGAGTTCAAACCTCAGTACTGAAAAAAAATTCAGCTGCCTGAGTCTGGTGCAGTGGCTCATGCCTGTAATCCCAGCTACTTATGAAGCTGAAAAAGGGAGGATCATGGTTCGAAGCCAGCCTTGGGCAAATAGTTCTCAAGAGACCCCATCTCAACTGGGTGTGATGGTATATGTCGATCATACCAGCTCCATGGAAAAGCCCAGATAGGAAGCTCTCAGTCCAGGCACAGAGCGAGACCCCATCTGCAGAATAACCAGAGCAAAAAGGTGGAGCGGCTCAAGTGTAGAACGCCTGCCTAGCAAGTGTGAGGCCCTGAGTTCTAATCCCAGTGCTGCCAAAAAAAGGGAAAGAGAATTGTAAAGGCAGCAAGATAAAATAATTTACCATCTGTAAGAAAATTTCAAAAAACATAGCAGTGCTTATCAGAAGCCAGGTCAGACCGGAGTGACAGTCAGAAACTATTGTCCCCAAAGCAAGGAGAAACTAAGATGTGGCCAGATAAACAAAACCTGAGGGATTTCTCATCAGCCAACCTGTCCTTCAAAAACAAACCAAAACCCCAGTCCCAAACCTTAGAGCCCGTCAGACTGAAATGGAAGAGCAGAAGACAGTACTTGAACCCACAGACGGAAAGGTATGGCTGCCTCAATATGATGACAGTGTTGAATGTGGGTTGGGGTTGTTTTTGTGGTACTGGGGTTTGAACTCAGGGCCTTCTCCACCAGCCCTGTTTTGTGTTGGGTGTTTTTGAGATAGGATCTTGAGAACTATTTCCCCAGGCTGCCTTTGAACCTCGATCCTCCTGATCTCTGCCTTCTGAGTAGCTGGGATTACAGGCGGGAGCCACCATGCCTGGCTAAAAGCACCAATTCTTTATTTGGGCCACAAATGAACTAAAAGCAAAGGCTCGGCACCCAGCTGCCACTTTTGCACCTGTCTTTGCCCTGAGCCATCCTCTCGGGAGTCACCTGGAACCCAGGAAGGACAGAACTGATGGATAACAGCTTGTGACAGGACTTGAAGCCACTGGCTGGTCACCAATGGCTTTCCTATGCTGACCAGGCCTCACTTGGTCAACACTGAGGTGATGACTCTCTCCTTGAAGCACT